TGCCCCGATCCCAGTCTATCTTTCCGAGTTCTAGAAACTCATTTACCATTTACTGGCACCACTCCCACTGCCTCCAAGATTGTAAGAATTTTTACCTGGACCAGTGAATCACCCAGCTGATTGCATGACTTGGGCAGTTTATGTGCCTTCAAGGTTTAGATTCCCTCTTTGCTTACTCTAAATAGCTACAGTGGCCCATGTGGCCATATATGGCTCTTGAGCACTTGAAATGTGCCACCAGCAAATTCAGATATGTTAAAAGTGTACAATACACACCACATTCTGTAGATTTAGTACCCTAAAATAAATGTCAAATAAATTTAAAAAGCAGCTCATGATATCTTTCCATTACACAGTTTGACTTGAAGGACTGGAAACTACAGGACTTCAACGATCCCTCCTTCCAGGCTTATATAATAAAATTCCAACTGTTCAGCTTCAAAACTCTGCTTTGCAGGTTACTGGCTTTATGACCTTAAGCAAGTTTCTTAAACTTTCTGTATTTAGTTTCCTCATTGGTGAAAATGGAGATATGATAATAATATTACCTATCTCATAGAACTATTACATGAATAAATGAGTGTATTCTTGAAATGCACTTAGAACTGTGCCCACCCCTTGCTTACCAGTATTACCTATTTTCATTATCATTGTTATTGACCACGGAGAGCAGCATCACAAACTATGTCTGTACTGTATAAAATTCCTAGATGAAAACAGAGAGTATCTTGCCTACTTCCAAATATAGTATTGTTTAGTATTAAATGACATATTCTAAATATCCAAGTACTGTGGTTCAATAAAGTTTGAGGTTTCATCCAGATGGACTGTGTTCTATGTATTTGTTTATTCAACTAACAAGTATTCCTTGAACATCTACAAGTATAGACAAAACTGCTGTCTTCCTGGAGTTTACATTCCAGTAGAGGGCAGTAAAGTTAGTGACCAATAAAGTCATTCTAGCTTGTTGTTTTTTAGATGAGTTATTCTTGGATTTTTTAAAGAGACCTTAAAAGTAAGTTTAGCCCTGACTGGTTTGGCTCAGTGGATAGAGCATTGGCCTGTGGACTGAGGGGTCCCAGGTTTGATTCTGGTCAGGGGCGTGTGCCTTGGTTGCGGCACATCCCCAGTGGGGGCTGTGCAGGAGGCAGCTGATCAATGTTTCTGGTTCTCTGTCCCTCTCCCTTCTTCTCTGTAAAAAAAAAAATCAATAAAATATATTTTTTAAAACCTTTTAAAAAAAGTAAGTTTAAAAATTATACCAGCTCATTATTTTCCCTAGTCTTTCCCATTCCCAGCACCTTCTCAAAAGAAAGATAAACTTTGCTCTAACCTGTTTGGCTCAGTGGATAAAGCATTGGCCTGGGGACTCAAGGGTCCCAGGTTCGATTCTGGTCAAGGGCATGTACCTTGGTTGTGGGCACATCCCCAGTCAGGGGCGTGCAGGAGGCAGCTGATTGATGTTTCTAACTCTCTATCCTTCTCCCTTCCTCTCTGTAAAAAATCAATAAAATATATTTTTAAAAAAAGAAAGATAAACTTCATTGGTATTCTGTACCACTACACCAAGTGGTACCCACCCTGAGTTAGGGACAAAGAAGCTACAACAAAGATATAGTTAAGCTCATTATTTAAACCAAATGAAAGAGTAGGATTCAAAGAAATCTTTTCACATTTGTTTAAAAGTTTAAGACAATATACAATATAGATCTAACAAGTTATAGGGTTTTGTGCTTTTTAAAAATTATTTGAGCAGGCCTAAGCCGTCAGTTGGACATCCCCCGAGGGCTCCCGGACTGCAAGAGGGCACAGGCAAGGCTGAGGGAACCCCACCCTCCCACCCCCAGTGCACAAATTTCCATGCACCAGGCCTCTAGTAAACAATATCTTTTTAAAATGAGTGTGACCGTTTCTGTTTGTTTGTTAATCCTTGCCCGAGGATATTTTTCCATTGATTTTTAGGGAAAGTGGAAGAGAGAGGGAAAGTGGAAGAGAGAGAGAAACATTGATGACACATTAATTGGTTGCCTCCTGCACAAGCCCCAACCAGGGCCTAGGCTGGGGAGGAGCCTGCAACCAAGGTTCGTGGCCCTGATCAGAATCAAACCTGGGACACTTTGGTCCACAAGCCAACGCTCTATCCACTGAGCCAAACAGGCTAGGACAAGTGTGACTATTTCAATAAAGTTTTATCTATGGATACTCAAACTTTAATTTTCATGTAATTTTCACATGTCACAAAATATTAGTCTTCTTTTGATTTTTAAAAACCATTCAACAATGTAAAAACCATTCTTAGCTCTTAGATCATACAAAAACAGGTGGAAAGCATTTGAATCAGCATAGTTTGCTGATTCCTG